TTGATCTTGGTGGCACCTAGACCGGGCTTATAATTATTTGTAGACATTCACTTTTCCAAGTGAATCGTTACATTTTTAAAAACAGACACTTAATAGTTCAATAACTGATACTGCTGACAAGGCTTTTTTTAAAGTAAACTTTCTGATACTTTTTCTGAACAATCATCTTTGCCACAAAATATAAAATAAAATCCATTAAACCCTTTTGTAAATTATCAGCATTCTGACGAATTTTGAGTAAAATTGATGCAACTCATTTTAAAGCCTCTCCACTAGCCAGGATAGTCTAATCTTCATTTGATTTCTTCACTAGTGTTTCCTTTCTGGGAACAGGGACTATTCCCAGTGTTAGTAAGAAACTCCCAAAAGAATCCAGCACTTGGTACTAAGTTTGTGTAACATGAAGTACATCTGCAAATGTAACAAAGTTTCTAATTTATTTGACCATAACAGAAGAGAATAGGGGGGTGTATCAACAACAACAAAAAAAGAAATCCCTCTCCCCCCCAAAAAAACACCCAAAAAATAACTCCCAAACTGCACCCCACAAAATCCAGCAGGTAAATCAACATCAACTTTTCAGCATTCAGCCTTCAGATATTAAGATGAATGAAGAAACTGAAAAATTCAGAACTATTTTCTCATACTGTCTGTATATCCTGATATAATTCTTCACAACAGTTTGTCAAGCTGAAATTTTCAGTGTTTAGAAACATCAGAATTAGAAATTTTGAAGCATCTACAATGAAAAAAGACACTTTCAAGTACATACTACATATACCATAACATTTCCATGGTATTTAGTAAAGTCTGGATGTTATCCCAGAATTTACTTTCACATACCCATTAGTTTTAGAAGATAATCTAACACTGAAATGGACTGGTAGTGATGCCTCTGAGATCACACATTCAGAGAGTCAAAAGGATATCAGTGGTTGGAAATCACATCCATTTGAATCACTTGCCTCTCTTGCTACAGGATAAAAATAAACAAAGAGAGCCAAAGTAAAAAGGTTGACATCAAAATTGCTACATGTGTTGTATCTGGTAGTTTGCTAATCTTTGAGAATACGGCTTGTCTAGACATGTTAAGATCATTGTTTTAAAGGTAAAAGCCTAGATAAAAATTATCAGCAACTGGACACTCTAAAAACACGCTAAATTAAAGAGGAATTCTAACAGGCAACATCTAAGACAAGCCCCAAAAATATTAGCAATCATACCACACAGAAGTCATTTACTCCAATCAGTATGTAACTATGCAGAGGCACACAGTAACCCAAGTACGGCTATCCTGAAAAAAAATAGCTAAGACCCAACAATCTTTTAATAAAACTTAAATCAACACTCCTCTATTTACAGCGAAAGAACAAGAAGTTGGAAATTCTAGAAATGTTTATTTTACAGTGAACACTGAAAATGTTTAGCTGTTTCCCGTTACAAGCTGACCAACTCAGAGTAAAGTCGCCATCATTTATACAGTTATGTCGTCAAGACAAATTTTTCTATAAAATCAATTATGAGAAAAATGCTATTAGCTCCCTAACTTCTCTCTCTGGCAGGCAGAAAGAATTAAACTTACGCAGCAGGTTAATCTTGATGTTACATGCAGCTTTTTCTGTTGACTTTATAAAAATCTGGAGAAATTATGAACTACTGTTCATATTATGAACATTGTGAACCATGCCTTTGTCCTCTACCATAATCTTTAGAGAATCTAGCAGCATCACACGTATCCAACTGCATACATGCATGCTATGTCACATAAGCTTTTCTACTGGAAGAATCTCTCTACAATGGCTGCTTTCCCATGAGAATATCTTCCACCCTGCATAAACATGCCTCAAAGCTGAGAAACAAGGGTTCCATCCTGAACCATCTGCAGCAGGATTACAAGTTTAATAGAGAAATATAAAATGCCACTATTTTTTTTTTTTTTACTTCCAGTGACTGTTGTCAGTTTTACTGCCTTTAATGTTGAGAAATAATTTATTACTCAATCCTAACTCACACAAGATGTCTTAAAGATTGTTTCCAAGTGGCAAAGACAAACTTCAATCACTGAATTGCAGAGGTCATTAGAAAAGAAAACCCTCATATTTTGCTATTCTATTTTCACAATACCCTACCTGTAAAATGGAATTATCCAAATATATCCACAAAACCAGACTATTATGCAGCTTCCTCTAGTGGTCTGGCCCTAAATCTTGTTTCTTTTGCTATTTACTCTAGTTAGTTGTTATATAAAAATACTGAAAGTCTGTGTTCAAATGCTGTAACCTTGGGTACGCGTTAAGAGTTTATACTTCAATGCACTTCTAACACAAAAGACATGGAAACTAAGCCAAACCATACAGCAAAACATTTGTAACTGATATGAAGAGAACAAGCAGTGAAGTCAGCAAAAAACAGAGTTAGTATTTTAGTATTCCAATCTGCCCCCTTGTGAATACGCATTATAGTATATTTAGTTACATGGTCAAACTTGACTTTCCCACCACAAGATTCAGGAAGCAAGACAGATGTTCTGTTTTTAGCTGAGTCTTCAGATATTTGCTATGAATCATCCAAACTTTGTTTTGACCCTGAAAATAATATGTGTGTGTGTGCGTGTGTTTTAATAAGGCTTACCACTGTGCAATAGGTTTGTTTCTGCAATACTTCTTTGAGGGAATGAGCAACTAAAAAGACACGGGAAAGCATTCACCAAATTTGAAGGCCACTGAAAACAGATGACAATTTGACACAGCCCTAAAATATCACAAGAAGAACCAAAGCAGCTCTGTGATATGGGATGAGAAATTAATAGAGTGAAATTTTATATTAGACATCAGAAAGATTTCCTCAGAGGTTGAACTCATTAAGGAAAAAGAAGGAAAACCCAAATGCAGAACGTGACAACTGCCCATTACAAAACACATTTTACTGAACAATCCAACTCTTTTTAAGAGTGCGATTTTATAACATAACAGCCATCTCTAATTTCTGACTCTAAAATAAGGTAATTTAGAGTTAGAAATCTGCTCAGGTGATCTAACTGAAAATAATCACAATTATCTAAATTGCACAGAAGTATAAAATCATATCACTCACTTGCAGTTCAAAAATACTTTAAAATCTGTGAATGAGTAACTTTTATTATAAGGTTTTTCTGCAAAGCAGCAGCCGTAACTTTTATGTCTAGCTGAACGCCTTCCATTGCCTGAGATTCTTTATTGCCTTCTTACACTAAAAACCATAACTTCCTGCAGCTTGTTCTGCCTTTGCATTTTTCCACACTCTGAAAGAAGAGAAATACCCCCCAACTCTTTTTTCCCCTTTCCCTCTTTCCCTTAAAGCCTGTAAAATTCCATTCAGCTTTGACACAGACCTTAACTCCCCCAAATTGATATGACCATTTATTCACTCATACATTGCCAGCAATGATGTTCACTACTAGTTCAATAACTGACAAAACATATAATGAAGCAGAAACAATTTTTAAATTAAAGGTCAAGGACAAATTAATTTTGAAACACTACTGCATATTGCCCCTGCAACAGCGCTAACCTCACCAACTCCCTTAATTGCTCATGCCTCCATCACAGAAGTTCACATGGACCTTCTACATACTTTAACAAAAAAACTCCCAAGCAACCAAACAAAAAAACCCCAACAAACAAACAAAAGACAAGAGCATAAGTGAAGTAAATAGGTATTACATTTCTGTCTCCTTCCCTCTTTCCAGGATATTAGTCTCCACGTTGCCAACTAATGCAGTTGCCCTAGCATTCAAGCTGTGATTTGTCCCCTTGTGCCTGCTATTCAGGAACGTGCTCACCATGACTGGTTCAAAAAAGAGGCTCCTCAAACCATTCAGTGCAATGCTTACTGTAAGGGTACCTCAGCAGTTAAAATACCTGATATTACACATCCCTTTGCTGTCAGTATCTGCCTAACCTCGCTCATTTTTACAGCTGGAATCAGCTGGAATGTGTCTTGTCCTCAGGAGAGCAGGCAGCAAGGGATTTACAGCACAGTAACTAACCTCAGGTCTCAAGTTTGCTTATTCCCTGGCATACCATTACATCCTTAGGGAAAGATAACACAGCTGACAAAAAATGTCACAGCCCCTCAAAATAAATAATATCTGTCCAGATTTGGTGTATGCTGCCAACTCTGTTTATGTTCCTGGCTTCCTCTCAGAACATTTCTAAAGCTGTGGACTTTGTTAGAAGAATAAGGAAAGAGGAAGATTCAGCCACATATCTGTTCAGAAAAAGGACTGTGGCTGTTTCTCGTCACTCTGTAGCAGCATGTTGGCATTACAGCAACATGCAGTGGTGCCTGGGTAGCAATGTAAGAGCCTAATAAATAAAAACATGAAAGTTGCAGTAGAGAAAATTCAATAAAATTTCATGCATGCTTTTCATTTTTCATGCTAAGGATCAGAATATTAAGTACATTTCAGTGCCCAATTTTGTATTAAGTATTAAAGTCACTCATCGTTCCTTGTATTCCATTAGAATTAGAAACTCCAATCAAAGCCCAGCATGTCAGAGACAGTACAGTCAACAGTGTGATACCATACTTTCGTATGTGATAATTAAGCATCTCTAATTAAATGCTTATGTTCTAAATAGATAAGTAAGTACTTGTTTTGCCAGCATGGAACTGAAGGTAAGTGGGAACCAGACACTACTCTTCCTACACACATTCTAGGGTTCAGCACAAGTTATAGAATTAATATGGTTCTAGAGGAATGATCCTGATATTAATTCTAAAGCATCAGTAATTATGGGATTGTTTGTTAACTGCTCAGTTGTTGGCAGAGTAAACATCAACAAAAACCCCACATATATAACAGAACATAAAAAGAAATGGTCTGTGTACTGTTTTTATTGCTCAGCTTTAAAAAGAAAAGTAGCTAGTTTTTTACTAACCTCTACATACCAGATTTTAAGCTAAAGAAGTGCAGACCTTTTCATGCAAAAGATCACTTTAAACAATACACAACTTACGCATTTCTTCAACAACGTCTGGATCACATTCCCTGTATTTGTCTATTTCTGCCTTTAGCTGCTCTTTTTTCTGCCGAAGGGCAGCAAGTTCCTCCATTAGAGCTGCACGTTCTGCCTGAGGATTCAAAGTACGTTGAGAGACACAAAAAAAAAATACAAATGTTAAAAACAGTAATTATCACACAGATCATTTTTCAAAAAAACAATACATAAATTTAAAAGCTGCTTTTACTACTGCTTTCTGTCAATGAACCTCTTGAGCATTTTATTTTATTACACAAAATTCTCAGTGACACTCAATGATATCAAGTACAAACTGGAAGGAAAAAAATTAAGGCCAAAATGGATAAACAAAAGAACAATTTTCTACAACCTTTGAACTCAATGAGATTTGACAAACTCCAAAGAGATCTCTTAATTACTGGGCTTAAAGGTTAAACAGTATTTAGGAGTTCTAGTCTTGTAATTAAAGACAGCATTACAGAAAAACCTGCCATCCACCCTTCCACAAACTGATATGCTGTGTATGAACACCCTCTGAATTTATTTTTCTTATTTGCCCACACCACTTGAGAGCAGTTGTCTCAAAAATAAGCTTAGATATTTATGACATGGTAGTCTGCTGGGAGTGTACACAATATCAACCTCAAAGATTCTATCAATCAATAAGAATCTGCAGACACTGACTCAACATGAGCTCTTCCACAGCCAACTCAGCACATACTTCTAATTCAGTCTGTAGTTACAGACAAACACTGTAACTGGCTGATACTCAAATAACTCATGCCAGGGCACTGGGTAGCCTAAAAGAGCCAGATATCACGAGTTTGTAAACCATCAGGGTTTTTACCAGTGGAAATCTCCATGGCAGCCCAGCAGTGTGAGGTGTTCATAGGGGTGGGGTTTTGTTTAGGTTTTGTTAGGGTTTTTTCCCCAAATATTCCATATTCCCAGTGCTTTTGCCAACAGTGCAGATTCGGCATGTTCTGAAAATGCAGAATGAATGGAAATCAAAAGTTTCCAGACGCTGAGGTATGGACGTAAGATACTCAGAGACCCACATTGTGATCTAGATTTTTCAGGACTTCTTCCTGATGTATAATCAGGAACCAAAATTTTGGAAACATAAGCCGGAACAGGACTTCCAGGACCAATAGCTTTCTGTAGGGCAGGACACATGCTGGAGCAGACCAAATCTGGAACAGTTCATTTGGAAGGATGACAAGCACAACTGTGTGAGAAACCCACTCATGATTCCCTGATTACAGTTCACTGTGAGTGAGAGCATAAAGAATTACCGTTAAAGGTACTGGCAAAAAGCAAGCTTTAATTAAATTTGTGAAAGTGACACTTCAACAGAGTTTGATGGCAAGGTGCACTCTATTACTTACTAGATAAAGGAAGCATACATAGGAAAAACCTAGAGTGTTTCTATAAAACAGTTGGGATTCAAAAATTTGGCACTTTACTACAAAATTCAATTCCTCCTGAAAGCTTCTTGCTGTCCCTCTTTTATGCATTTATTTATTGGACTTCAGACAGAGCACTGCAGTGCAAATCTGCAACACAGAACACCGTATCAAGTATTTCTAACTAATATGTTGCTTCATAAATATAGTAAACATAAAGCCTAAATATTATTTTGTAGTGTCAACAGCTTCAGTGTGCAAAGAGCACCAGGCTTACATAGCTGCTCAGAACAGTAATTTAGCAATCTATACTACAAATAAGTTTTAAAAAAACAACTCCAACATCTAAATTTGTCGTTACTAGATTTGGCAGTTCAGCAACCATCGGTGACTTTGGTATACACCTCTGGGTAGTTCAAGTTTTAAGATATTTTTAAATCTGAAAGTACCTGGAAGGACTACACTAGTATTTACAAGAAGTGCATACTTGTAGCCCTATTTCCTTGTAGGATTGCCTACCCCTCAAAGCAACTTACAGTATCTTCACGTCCAATTTTTGATTTCTGAATGCTTTTTTGTAAAGCTTCTTTTTTCTGACTGCTTTCAGCAAACTGGTAAAGGAAACAAAGAACAAAATCAAACTTATTCAGTAATGTATATTAAATATACCTATAAAATGTGTATACATATTAATATATTTAAATAAGCAGGGGGATATACCCTTTTAAGATATATATAACTTATGTAATAAAAATAAACAGAAAATAAACACAAAAGCACCCAAATATAAATCCAAGGCTTAGAACCACAGAGAAGAATTACAAGATGCAACTTAAAAGTCTAAGAAATTTTTGCTACGGTGGCACATAATCTTGCATGTTCAGCATGGGACCAAACTCCTATTTCATACCATGATCTGGCATCGCTATGTAAAGGACTCCATAATATGGAGGCCTTGGATTAGATGATTTCCTTCGGTCCTTTTCCAGCTCTCCCTATTCAATGGAAGCAGTGACAAAAGCTGTAGCAGGTTCACCTGCTCAGCAGCTGACACTGGTATTCCCAAAGTCTGATATGCCACTGGCATGGCCCCAATCCCTTTTACATGCTGGTGAACAGAAGCCTCTATAGCTCAAAGGCCTGTAAAGCGATGGCCCCCTTTTACTGTGCTCCCTCACACTCCTAGACCTCACAGAGTTCTCCTCCTTCACGCCTGAGGTAGAGGAATCTCACAGAAGTCACATATCACAGGGCTGGTGTGAATACTTCCATTTTCCTGTTATTCCAGGACAAATAAATTTGGAAAGGGAGATCTCTCTCCATTAACCTGCCACCCATCTTGAACCAGGACCTTCCAATTTAGTTGGCAGTTTTCCAGAGATACTTTGGAAACTATTTTTAGCTGAGCAGGACATATGACTTGACACATACACAGCATCGGACAAAGCCTCTTGAAATATTAAATTAGATGAATGAGAATTTAAAAAAAAACAACAAAGTAATAAAATATAGTTTGAAAACCAATTACTGCATTTGAAATCAATACAAAAGGGGGAAAAAAAAGAAAAGAAAAAACAAAGGAGAAACAATAGCATGCTTTTTAAGTACTTTTTTTGGTTTAGTTTCAAGATGCTTCGAGCACCAGTCAGGTAGAACATCAGTATATCAGACTAATTGTGAAAACAACAAGGATGGCTGTCAGAGCCCAGGTTTTATTCTGCTCTACGCCAAAACCCCTCACACAAAGCCTCCACTTCTACATTCCCTTTCTTACTGAGGATCCCACTGAGTGGAAAAGCATTTCTAGACATTTCTTGCAATCCCTAGCCTTGATAATTTAACCATATCATTTATATCATGCAGCTGAAACACCAAGGCCCCATTCATACAAAGCAAACTGAATGGTTCTGGACCTATAGTCACTTCTCAATTTCTGTTGAAATTAATATTCGGTTCGTATTTTCAGAAATATATATTAAAAGTAAATTCATAATAAATATCAGGCAGAGTTTATTGCCAAGTCTTGGACATCAGCCAGAACAGAAAAGCCAGAAAAGAAACTCCATCCTGGTGGTCCAGATAGATTAGGACCCAGCCCAACTGCAGCTCACTGGGTTTAGTGGTTCCTTTTATAGTCCAATTTTTGAATATAATTACTCTTTCTGTGTTCATGCATGTGTAAGCATACATACAGACAAGAAAGTTTCCTTTCTAAAAGAAAGTTTTAGTTTTTCTTCAATTTACATAGAAAATATACTAATGGTAAGACATACATAATTTGAGGAAAAATATGTCCAGTTGTTTAGTTATTGCTCTCAGTGAGAGTAACCACAGAGACAGTGTAGGTTTCAGTATGTGGCTTGAAGTACACCAACGTGTTAATTTTGGTGGATAGCTAAACAGTGCTCCTGCTGGGCTTTCCAAATTCTTAAAAAATTAGGTGTGTTAGTCCCCACATTATGCCATACTAAACAGAGGGATTATACAGTTCAGAAGAGGACAAGTACTCAGGTGCAGTTTGCAGTTCACAAAGCCCAGGGAAGACAAACGCCAGAGCACACATCATTTGGCACCTCTGAACAAAGAATCTTTCTGGTACAAAACTGGCAGAGGAGGTAGAGAAGACAAGGATCTTATCTAGGCCCTTATACCACAAGTGCAAAGAAGAAGCTGACGCTCTCTGCAAGAGAGGCCATAAAGGTGTTGTTTTCCCTGTTTTTTCATATTTACGAAGTTCTAAAGGAATTTTTTTTTGCATTCACTAAAATGGATGCACAGAAGGAGCTCTCAGGGCATTGCAAGTCATAAAAGCTGGTTTCCAGCTTGGAAGCACGTTTCACAGTATGGCATCTTATTATTTTCTTGATCCTCTGTATTCTACATAATTTAATCATGAAAAAGACACTAATGACAAACTCTGGAGAGAAAGACATTTGTTAGATTCTCACCTAAATAACACGTAAGATTGTCATGCCATGAGGTTCATCTGCCTAAAAGCAAAGATGATTTTTACATAATCTTATTTAAGATTTAGCTTTCTTCTCTCACAGATTTTAATTTTTTGGATGTTTTGCGGTTTTTTAATTGTCCTCACAACTAAAAAATTTACAAAATAAAATGAAACCACAGCTCGTTGTGTATTATTTGGAAGTCACAGTGAGCATCCCCATGACAACAAACAAAAGATGAGAATAAGGAAAGGCATAGCTGAAGGCGGCAAGATATTGAAGAAAAGCTAACGTAGGACAAGGATACAAAGGGTAGGGACAGATGGCCAGGGTCTGTGCAAGAAATCTATGACAAAGGGAGAAGCAGGAAGGCTTGGATACAGAGGTGGTAACACAGCTGAAAATAACTGTAATAAGAGAAGGAAAGACAATCAGCAAGGATAAAGGAATCTGAGGAAGGATGTATACAGATGATACAATACTTAACTGAAAGGTAAGGGCAAATGGCAGATGACAGCTGACAGGTTATAGGGCAATAAGAGAAAAAGCAGAATTTGCAAGCGTTGTGTATGTATGATAGCAGAGGATGACATCTGGACAAATACGGTAACTTACCTTCCCACTCACCAGTTGTAGAAAAGCCTGATTGCAAAGAACAATAGTAGCAGATGGAATATTTCAATCTTTGGAGCAACCTTGGGACATTTTTCAAGGGAATTGGCAAACAATTTCTCAAGGGACATTAACCACTCAGAGAAATGTGACTCCTGCCAATAGCAGTGAGACTGATCCAGTGAAAAAGATATTGTCTCTCCTCTATGTCTCTTGAAAGAGGTGACTGGTCTGACACATGAACAACTTTGTGCCACAAGTGTAAGTGACCAGGTATGGAAAAGAAGTACAGAAAGCTTCACGTCTCCAGTCTATCTGACTGCTCTGAATCAGCATATGATTAAGCAAGATGCAAGAAAGTGGCAAAAATATAATTTAGGGGAAAACTGCTCAAAGAATGAGGGGAGACTAAATAATTAAAAATTAAGAAGTTAAAAAGATTCTTCACAAGAGCATTTTCAGTGTTTTCAAAACACACTGGGAGCCTGCAAGAAGACGGTTTAATGAAGAAAGTAACTAACACCTATAAAACAGGAGATTTGGGGAACAGTTTCTTTAATTTTACAGACCAGTGTGGTCAATTAAGTGACCACTGGCCTAGCTTAGACATTAATGCAATCCAAAGTCCCCCAAAGGGATGATTTTTCCTACTCTGCAAAGGCTTCACAATGTTTAGCCATACATTTGTGCAGCAGTTTGTGTGTGGAAAGTGCTATGTGCTGATGATAACCATCAGTTCCATCACAGGCCTTGGGGTCTGCTTTGTATCAAAGGATACAGATTAGACATACACACATAATTTATAATATAGTATGAACACATTAATACCAGGGTTCCACTTCAGCAAGTCAGTCCTGTACATCTGGAAAAGGAACATTAACCCCAACACATAACAGCAGCAGTTTCAGTTCTATTCCTTCTCAAAACTTGCCTGATAGACTTTTATTCTAGAATAAAAAGCGATTTTTTTTTTCTCCAGCCCAAGTTTTTGTTGGTTCTATGCCTTCTGGTTCCTAGTTCTTAACCACTCTAACCACCAGTATCCCACCAAACATGTAGCTTGTCTCACTAGCATATTAAAATATCTACAAACCTCGTGTAAGCCATGCAAACACATACCCTGAGTATGTTCAGTGGACAAGAATCAAACCAAGATCTCATATGTTAACCACCAAGAGCACTCACAGCTGTTAGCCCACTGTCATTATGGTCTTAAAGAGAAATATCATACATTTGGTTTTCTTTCAGCCAAAACACTCAACCAGAAATGGTATTAAAAACTACCACTATAGTGAGCATCACTCACTGTGGCACTACAAAAGAATAAGAACATCCATTTTTTAATTGTTTGTAACTTGCAAAGTTATTTACTTTAGGTTTGAAGCTCACTGTGCTTTGTTTCAGGCTAAAGGCAAGGCTAGTTTTCTTTTGGCTTATACAAAAGCAGTTCAAGAGTTTTAGGGTGATATTTGCAGTAGGTATTTCTTTTCTACATTAAAACTAACCCACTACTAAAAAACTTAAATAGAATTGACAGACAGCATGGAGAGAAAGTACTTCAAAGCATTCCTCTAGATTCTAAAGACAGATAACAAAAAATTGAAGCCAAAAAGCAGCCTAATAAAATATAGAGAGCAAAAATGCAAAGATCAACAGCCAAAGAACAACCTGGAAATATTGAAAACAGACCGGTTGGGTTAGAAGAAAGGCACAGAACATTGCAAAAAGAAACCACTCAGCAATTACTGTTGACTAAAACAATAAAACTTTCAAGAGGAAGAAAAGTTCCAAAGGGTAACAGATTGAAGTGCAGAACTGCTTTCTAAAGTACTGCTTTCTAAGTAAGCATATAGCTACTTCTTTTACATACATGGTCACAAATACGTACTTCCAAGGGCCTCCAAATAGACATAAGCAAACTTTTCAGTCAGCTAGTTGTGGTCACAGCAGAGTAGAGAGCTCCACCATGGCCTGCAATACTGCAGCTTCCGCTCTGCTCTCAGGATGCAGCGCACCACCCGTGAAATGTCATTTCTCCATATAACCCATCC